AGATACAACATACTAAAGGTATTATGCAAAAGGATAAGCAAAACACAAAAATTTACACCTAGAGACATAATGTCAAGTACTTTTCCAAAGGGACGATTAGATCAAAGTCATCTCAATCCCTCAGTTGGATGACTTTACAAAGAAAAGAAATGAAAAATTTCACCCCATTCAGTCCTTGGCATCTCTAATATTGACTTTCACCCTTCTATCCAAGTGGCAGTGTCCTGATATTGAGAAGTGTGATAGATTATCTCACTTGGATGCAAATCTGGAACCACACATTACTTATGTCAATGTTTTCCCCGATACCATACATCAACCTTGCTTAGATGATTAGCTCTGCAATGGTATTATTCGTTGCCCCGAACATTTTGCACTAGGTTGTTGTCATGGCAAACCAATGGTTCTCGATAGCATAAAACAAGGGAAGGTGAGTCATATATCTCTTACCATTCCTTATCTCTATTTGAATGGAACCATACACACAATGCTTACCGACTTGCATCGGGGTTATATTCTTGATGGTTTGTTCATCAATCAACAAGAGACATGTATAAGATTTAACAACGATCATCACAATACAAAATTATTGAGGAAAACTTTGAAATTTGATCGGTCAACACCTTCATCATTCTTGTAAGAATTGGCTCAATAAAATCTTAATCTAAGGTTTCTAAACCGTTTAATCAGTACTATACCATCTAGTGATAATTTGAAATAGATGCACTCACTAAACCATCTAGTCTCTTAACATCTATTGAGTCATGGATAGCCTAATGGAATCGTCTAATGATTGTAATTAGAAGCACTCTTCATATATATCTTCGGTTATAACAATATTTGTACTATAAGTATGACCTTGTAGCTTTAGTAACTACTAATTGAAAGTTGTAACATTTGAGTTATATAAGTGAAAGTTTATTGCAAGAGAAACTTGTAAATTATAATGTGTTATAATAATGAATTCAAGTGAACGTAGATTGAATTATGTTAATTCTTCGTTTGTACCACATTTCTCAGTTTACATTTTACCATCTAATACTTGCAATTTTCCCTGGAATCATTTCTATTTGTGGGACAAATATTCTGATCAAATTAAGAATTATTCATCCGAGAACAATTCTCAAAGACCTCACGCTTCTATCCAATAAGAAGATTTTGTGTAATTATGCTAAACTTGCATAACATACCCACATAAGATGTCAGATTAAACAAAACTAAATTTAATTTGCCTTAAGTAAATCCGTTTTCGAAAGGAAAGCAGGGAGTAGTGTTTGTGCCTACAAGGTTTTTACGTGGCCAATTAATATAATTTTTTAAAGAAATACTAAATTAGCAAACTTCGTGTACATGATAATTTATAATAAAAGAATGGTATAAATATAGGCAGATATATTATTTATTTAATACGATAAGCATTATTGGAGGTGTTTGTTTTTATTAAAATGAAATGTGTTTTTCTTTTAAGGATAAGGGGAGAAATGGTGAAATTGGTAGGTGAACGAATGGGGGAGGTTGGAAAGGGAATATCCATTCGATCCAACTTTTTGTGTTGTTGAAAGCAATGAAAGGCAAGGCAAAGGAGAAACCAAAAGACATAATAAAGTGAGAAAAAAAGGGCCAAAGAAACAAACCTGGGTGTAGTGTGGTGTGTCACTCACTGTGGCTAATCTTCTCCCAAACAAGGCCCACTTTTCTCATCTTCTTCACTTCTTCAATGGCCTCCTTATCCCTCTCCTCACCCCCTTCTCTCTCCTCCGTGCACCACACCGCCTCCACGCGCCTTATCCTGCGCACTCCCACCTCTGTTAAACTGCGCACCCGTCCTCACTGCTTCCCCGCCGTCCGCGCCATCACCCTCACCCAGGACGACCTCAAGAGACTCGCTGCAGACAAGGCCGTCGAGGCCGTCAAGAGCGGCATGGTCCTCGGCCTCGGCACCGGATCCACCGCAGCCTTCGTCGTCGCCAAGCTCGGCGAGCTCCTCGCCTCCGGTGAACTCACCAACATCGTCGGCATCCCCACCTCCAAGCGCACAGAGGAGCAAGCCCGCTCCCTAGGCATCCCCCTCTCCGTCCTCGACGACAATCCCCGCCTCGATCTCGCCATCGACGGCGCCGACGAGGTCGATCCCGACCTCAATCTCGTCAAAGGCCGCGGCGGCGCCCTCCTCCGCGAGAAGATGGTGGAGGCCGCCTCCGACAAGTTCATCGTCGTCGTCGACGACACGAAGCTCGTCGACGGCCTCGGTGGCAGCGGCCTTGCCATGCCGGTGGAGGTGGTTCAGTTCTGCTGGAAGTACAATCTGGATCGCCTCCAGCAACTGTTCAAGGAAGAAGGATGCGACGCTAAATTGAGATTGGATGAATCTGGTAAACCCTACGTCACTGATAACTCCAATTACATCGTTGATTTGTATTTCAAGACTCCAATTCGGGATTCCCTCGCTGCTGGCGCTGAAATCTCCGCTCTGGAAGGCGTCGTCGAGCATGGACTGTTCTTAAACATGGCCACCTCTGTCATCATTGCCGGCAAATCTGGCGTTGAAGTCAAGACCAAGTGAGAGATACGCTTCGCCGATTCGTAATTTTTTTTTTGGTGTATTGTTTTGGTTTTCGAGAAATATTAATAACAATAATAGCCTACATTTGATTGCTCCTATCTCTATTGATTATCCGCAAATGATTCAATTTAACTTGTGCATTTGAAACATTGATATTTTGTTATTAGAAGGACTTCGTTGATTTGGTTGATAGTTTTTGCATTACGGTGGATAGTTTGAAAATAATATTTGGTTCGGAAATCCAAAAGGCAGAAGTAAGAAATTCATTGGGCATGAAGAAAAATTGGAGTCTTCACTAAAACAAAATTGTTAGAAGTTTCAGAAAAAGATTACAAATGTGTGGCTGCTGGGATTCGAGCCCAGGTCTCCACGGCCACAACGTGGAATTCTCACCACTAAACTACAGCCACATTATGTTAGCCGCTTATTTATTAGATATATAAATTATATAAATATTACTTATTTATAAGATAATAATTCAAAAAGGTTGTTTAAAATTAATTGTGGCTGCTGGGATTCGAGCCCAGGTCTCCACGGCCACAACGTGGAATTCTCACCACTAAACTACAGCCACCTTTTGTTGAGAGGAAAATAATAATTAGATATCAAAATCAGATGACATTCTATAAATACTGGAAAATATTAGTTTAACTAAAGCAAAAGGCACTTAATCTAGAACACATTTTAATAATATAATAACGAATAATAAATTTTTAAATAAATAAAATCTTATCATTTTAAGTAATTAAGTGGAATTTTATTTGCAAAATATTACCAGTCTAAATACTTACCATTACCAGATCTGATAGGAATGAAATGGAGATGAACCTAATATTTCTTAGTTTATTCCATGTTTGGGCTTTGCTGCACCCAAGGTAACTTGATGGCCTATTCGGCCCATATTGGACCTAAAGTTGTTGTAAGAGAACATAATATTAAATGTAATTTTTCCTACAAGAAAACTTCAAGACATTGTAAATAATATTTTGGTATTAAGTGAGATTTTATTAATTTGAAAAAAAAAACTTCGATGTGATTATAAGACGGAAATTCATCACAATCTTCAAGCAATATCATAATGAAAATTAAGCACAAGACTCTATTTTAGTATTGTGTTTTGTTCTTAAAAAATATTTCAGAAAATTATAAAAAAAGTATATTTAAATTCTCTTTCATCTTAACTCTTAAATCAAGGGTGTATTATTGAAAAGGGCATTCACATGTTGAATGCTGAACTGATGAGAAATATAGGAAATATATATATAAAAAAAACATGATTTATGTAATTTATGTATTATCTGTTATTATTGATATGCATTTTAGATCGACAAATGATGCAGAGAAACGATAAAAATAAAATAGCATACTAATTACTAAATAATAAATATTAAGTCTATTTCTTATAGTGGGTTGAAGTGAAAGGCCATAAAAAATTTCTTAACTATGCAGTAGCTAACGCTGCATATTATTGACTATATCAGAACCCAACCCAAAAGAATACAACAGCATAGAGACAAATTCCAAGTCAACACATATAATCAAGTAAATTATGTTGATTTTTTTTTATCTTCGACGCTAACTCCTGATGTTGAGTTGCAGTCAACATTTAGAGACAATGGTTTATCACTTTGTTTATTTTCCAGCACTTGATCATTAATAGTATAAACCTCAATAATAGGATTGTAACAATTTGGTGACATAATCACACCTTTAATAAAATGGGCATTGGGATAACAGTTTTTCTTCTCTCTTTTTTGTCAGAAATAGATTTTGAATTTGCATGATTATATATATATATATATATATATATATATATATATAAATAAAATAAAAAAACTCAGATGGAATGCTCTAATTAAGATTACAATAGATTTGAGCGAAACAATCATATATATATATATATATCAATGGATAGATATATGGCATTCCAAATTGTTCAGCCTTGAATAGAGATTGATAAAATAAAGAATTACCATCATATTAATTGATTTTCTAAAAGATATTTGCATCCATGACACTTGCGTGCAAGTCATTCATGGCCCTTGAATCCCGGATTAAGCCTCAAAGAAGCTTTAAAATGTTATAAAACAGTGACTTTTCTACCTTCTTACTTCTGTAGAGAGACACTGTCATTGATTATTGGAATAAAAAAAGAGAGAAAACCCTTTGATTTTTACAGCATGAATCCCTAAATATTACTGAAGTCAGAAAAATTTACAGCTCTTGACGATCAAGCTGAGGCAATGTTGAAGTGGAATGGTCCACGAGTGTGGCAAGTGCCAAGTGGCTTTAACAGAGAAAGCTTTGCAGGCCAAAGGCCGCAATATATAGTTAAATAGCAGCACAAACACCCAGAAAGAGTTACAGTGAGCAATTAGTACAGTTGAAAAATGCAGTGTATATATATAATGGATCGATGTTTAACAAGATTACCCCTTATGTGTATGTACTAATTATGTGGTGTTTCAGGCAATAGGAAGCTCTGTCGCTTGTTCATTTGGCAGGTCTGTTAACTGGTGTTTTGGAAGGTGAGGAACAGAAAACAAGAAATGGGAAAAGCCAGCAAATGGATCAGAAACTTCCTTCTGGGGAAAAAGGATGAGAAAATCAAGAAGATCGATGCATTATGCTCTGAGGATATTAAGAGTTCTAACACGGGGAGTCTGATCGTGAGTCCCAAAGTGAAGCGCAGATGGAGCTTTGGAAAACTAACAGGTGGAAGAATAACAAGCAAGATAGTAGGGCATAAATTTTCCAGGTCTTTTGACTCTGGTGAGTCTGCAAAACTGCAAATACAAGCCTTGTTGGAAACAAAGGCTTCAAGGCGTCTTCCAACACCACTGCCAAGAACTTACAAAGATAAAAACAAAGCTGCTACAAAGATTCAGGCTGGTTTTCGCTCATATTTGGTATGAATTTCTTGTAAAAAATTTTATGGCCACATCTAGCTGGGCTTCTCCTTTGATAATGAGAATGTTATATCCTTACTATTTGTTTAGTTTTTCTTACATCTTCGAGGAAATTTTCAGGCAAGGAGAGCATTGCATGCTTTAAGGGGATTAGTAAAGTTACAAGCACTAGTGAGGGGTCACCTTGTGAGGAAACAAACAACTGCTACCCTGCGTGGCATGCATGCGCTGATGGCCATACAAGTTAGAGCGCGAATTCACAGAATTCAAATGGCAGAGGACGTAAACCTCCTTGGAAAACAGCCTCCACAACATAGAGAAGTTGCACACTTCAGAGACCTAGTAACAGAAGAAAATAAAGTAAGATTCAGTCTCTGCAATGGACCTCAATTTTATCATCTGAAGTTTGACATCATATTCCAGAAATACAACTCTTGTATTCGATTTGAAACTAGATCCTTTTGAAAATTCATCGTAATGATGCTTCTGGCTAATACTCAGTTACCTGTTCTGTTATGCTGCATTCTAGATAATACCAATAACATGACATTATTTTGTAGGATTCAAAGGATATGAGTGTGGAAGAAATGTTGGAGGCTTTGAGAAGCAGAAGTGGCCCTCTAGATGGTTCATATGTTAAGGCGGCCAGAGAACGTGATTTCATGACAGTCTATTCCAAGCATGTGCCAGTTGTTTCCAAACGAAAACATCAATACAAGAATACTCAAATCGTAGAGCCCAACAGCCCAGAAAACTTCCGGGTCATGTCTGAATTTAACACAACGGCAATGGCCGCCTTATCGACTTCTCAGCGTCACTTAGTGCCTCACCGCCAATCACTGTCACCAAATTACATGAACAAGACAGAATCTTCCAGGGCTAAAGCAAGGTCGCAGAGTGAACCGAGACAACGACCCAAAAGGGGAATGAGGAACAAAGGGAAGTCTGTGGAATCCCCATTGAATGGTCCAAGACAAAATCTGTTCTCAAACTCATTACGTTTCGATCATGGAAGCCTGGATCTTTGGTCTATCAATCTTCATGGGGACAGGAAGCGCGATTCCTTTGGCAGCAGCTCGGTCACTACTGATTCCTATTATTGAATTCTCCTGTTTTGTGACAATACTATAAAATGTGTTATAGTTTGGGCAACACAATTTCATTACCCATCTACCTGTACTTCGCAAGAAAAGCGTGGTATGTGGTAGGATGCCAGTACAATAACAAAACCATTTATGAAAGGGAAAACGTAGATATAACAAGTGCACTTTATCCCTAATTTTTGCTATCAATTACATACGAACAATTATTTTATGGGCTGTCAAAAACAAATAGGAAGTGGAATAAAAGTTTAGAAAATGTTTCTAGATATTTTTATCATTTTAGGTAATTACTCGGATCGATGTTACCAATTTGTGAAAAGATCTATAGTCTTTTTCATTCATCAGATTGAAAGTGAGTTACATCATTGCAATAAGTGAAAATGAAAGTGGGTAAATGAAAAAACGTTGTTACCTATAAAAAAATTGCTATCTAAATGTGTGAAAGAAACACAGAACTCTACAAACATGACTATGGGATATTACAGCAGTTTAAGTCGATTGTTCTCTGCTGAAAGTGTTCTCTTTGAAACTCTTGCTCAACCAAATAGCAGTTTCTCTTGGGGAAGCTTTCCCTGGCCCAAACGGTTTTAATAAAACTCCGAGTTCTCCATACCTTTCCTGCTGCAGTAATCTTGCACTAAATTCAAGCAGACCTTCTAATGCCTCCGCCCTTTGTTGGAATGATGATGTATCAAACTGCCGGCAGTGCAAGTCTGAAGAGTTGTGGCTTGATGCTCCAGCTGTTGCATTTTGATCAGATGAGCCACTTTTATCCTCATTGTTTTTCTTGAGCACGCTGCGCTTGATTCCCTGCCAAGCATACGTACATCCTGGCGTAACATAGGATGTGTCACATACCTTGATTGTGCATTTGTCTACCAATGTTGAATCATTGCCACAAGGAGGGGAACCTGAGGAACCCTGTGCCGAGTTTGGTGAAGATCTATTGATGGGAAACAATTGGTCTTCATATGATGCTAATGGGAATTCTGCTATCCTATCAATCCGGGGAGAATTGACTGAAATATTGGGTGAAGTTACATGGCAAAGTAAACCAGTACTGGACCTGCAAGGAGGCAGCTGAATGGCACAACTTCGTGGGAACGGCAATGATGCTCTGCGAGTTGTATGGACAGGTTGTTTCATGTTGTGTGAAACAGGAAGCTACAACCATGGACTTCAGAAAGTCAGGAAAAAGAAATTCTAAATTGAATAATACCATTACACATGCAGGAGTAGTTCCTTGTAAAACAACCCACTCAAAAGAGATCACATGCTTAAATTTGTTCATGATCTACCATAAGGCAAACATTAAAAATAGATTGACTCTGGCTTGCCTTACCGTCTTATGATTCTTTGAGGATAGCATTGATTTCTTGGGGGTGGCAGAAGCTTTTGATGCAGTTAGCGTAGGAGTCCTGGCATTGCTAGAAGTTCTTGAAACAACTGAATTATGCCGTGACTTCAAATCGTGGTTGTCTCCAATAGAAAGTTTAGCAAATCTTTGATTTATATTATCAGGAGTACAGTCTATTTCTAGCGTAGAGCATAGAGAATCTACCTCTGCTCCTGATACATTGGGATTTAAAGTCCTATCATTGCTAATAGAATGCCACTTATATCCAGAGACAGAAACACGATCATCTTCTGACTTCAAAAATCTTGCTTTCTTCACGTAGTTGGATTCTTGCCAAAGACCTGGCAAAGTACTTCGCCTTGGGCTATTGATTTTGAGATGGACCTTAAGAACATAAGGTTGAAGATGTTGGTTCCCGAGTAGCTCTGCAGCCTGTATCCAAAAGTACATGAAGGAAAATAAGCAAGAAAGGTGCTACCTGATTCACAATTCACTAGTCTCCTCTAGTCAAAGCATAGTTAAGTATATATTTTTACAATTTTATAATAAGTAAACTAATACAATATAGAAAAACTAGTTTTTTTTTTAATAATAGGAAAAACCAAGTTAGCAAATCAAATTTAAATAAAAACTAGTAACAACCGTATCTGTGTTGACCTCGTTTGAGACTAAATAACAACATCAATACGTCATTTGTGACCTTTTATGTTGATAAAAACGTAATTTTAACTAAAATACTTTTAAGATACAAAATAATAAATATTCTTTACTGGTTTTAGATCAATATGACCAAGTCTATGACCATTTGACCTTTCAAGTTGAATGCACTGAACACCAGACAAGTATTTTCACAATTTACTCACTAAATCTATCCAAACAAATTAAATCTGATTCTAATAATGTAGAATCACATACTACGAAGTTTAGATTCTGCAGACATATTTAAAATTTTACAAACGTTTAAGCGCTTCCTTACTCATCAAGATACCTATCTGCACATGTAAGTGATAAGTTTATTATTGATTTAATAAAGAAACAAAAAATTATTCTTTTGCACAATGCAAGATATGTTAACATGAATGGAGAATAGGTAATATTCTAGTTATTATATAAAAGAAAATTATAATTAAAGTTTGAATGTGGAAGCCATCATCAGCCCAAACCTATCTCCAAAAATTATACAAGGCACTAAAGCTGCACCAGTAAATTGCATAGAATTATTCCATTGTCAGAGGAGAACTCTTATACGTACACTAGGTCTAAGCTCTGGATTTTTCCGCAGCATGCTTTTGACAAGACCACGACTGCCAAAAGTGAAATAAAATATTTGTTAGAACAATCGTACAGTTCATAATATAACTGATTGATTGCAATAAATTTACAAGAAACCTCACTTTCGGTGAGCTTTTCCTTGCCTAAAGCTGTTAGTTACGACAATTTTAGGCATTAGGTCAACAAAAGTTCCACATTTAACAGCCTTAAGACATGGCAGAGAAATTTAATAACTAAAAGTATAAGCCATAGCAACTAAATGACAAAAGAACGAAGACTTACAATGCACCAGAATATTTTGTTGGCAATGGAGCCACTATGGACTTGTTAATTTTGTTAATCAGGGACTGTATATCCTGTTTGAAACAAATGAAAGACAATTATATATATATTTTTAAAAAAGAGCAATGTTTGCCAAAAATATATAATTATGGATAGCCATGCAACTGATAATCAATTAAGAAAGTCATGATAAAATACAAAGAGACAAGTTCAAACTAGGTGAATTATTCGGATTTGAATGTATTAGCCAATCCATAGAACATAAAAGCATGTTGAAACTAGGTAACATAACAGGATTTGGCTGCCTAAAGAGGAGAGCATATTTTAGAGAATAAAATGCAGAGGTATAACCGTTGACCGAAAAATTAATAGAGTACATTTTAACAACTCAATAGTTATAATGTGTATGTATACATGCACATGCATAACAAAACTAATTGTTTATTTAAGTCATCGGTTATAACTCCACAATTTTTCCTATATTTTAGGGTGCATGCCTCACTTTAGGGGATTCAAATTCAATTCAATATGAATTAAATTGCTATCCAGACATTGGCATCTTATTATAACAAACAGAAAATTGGTCAGGTGACACGAAAAAATATAAAGTATTAAATATGTTCAAAGACAATGTATATAAAGAAAAAAGGAAAAAAAAAAAACTTGTGATTATAGAAGAAAACTTACAAATGCTTTGAATGCAGGCTTAAGCGAGGTCATTTCATATATACAACATCCTGAATAACCGAATTCCGAGATCATGAATACACAATGAACTAGATAATAAAAAAACTTATCAAATGAGTACTTACCAAGGGACCAAATATCTGATTTAGAGCCATAAGGTATATCAGCAAGGAGTTCAGGACACATATAGCTAGGAGTTCCGACAACCTAAATCACAAGTCATTATTTATAATAACCATACAAAAGTTGCAATCAGGAAGGCTAACTCGTTCTTAGATTAAATATTTCTTACAGAGGAAGTTAGATCATCGGAAGTCAACATTTTGGCAAGTCCAAAATCACCTGATTCATCATTGACCACTTGTAAGCAAACTTTAACACATCTACGCAATTATGCTTTATTTAAAGGAACAATAGAATAACTTACCAAGGCGTATGTCATGATCTTTTGTCAAGAATATATTTGAACACTGATAGAAATACATCATTCTCATTAATATATTCCTTAAAGGAATTTAGATGGAAACTGGAATATTCTCACTAAGCAAAGAGGTTGTTTAACTAACCTTGACATCACGATGAAGAATATGGTTCGCATGCAAGTAATCAAGCGCCATAAGAAGTTGAACAAGCCACTTACATAGTTTCTGCAAATAGAAGACTGTTTTAGGTTCTAATTGTTCAAATATAAATATTATCTTGTTCATTCAAACATGAATATTCATGTCTAAAGGAAAAGACAGATAAAAATTAATAATTTTCACAATAAAAGAAAAAATCAGACATAACCTCCTCAGGGAACATAACACCACCAGCTTTCTTTATAGCTTCCGCCCTATGTTTCATCAATAGTATAATTAAAACAATATTAACAACCCAATGTATTAAATAATAACCAAGGGAAAGAAAACATAACCATAACTTGTAAGCTAGTAAAAATGAGAAAAGAAACTTACATGTCTCCACCCTCACAATAACCTATAATAATGCATACATAGCAACCCTGGAAGGAAGTTAGATTACTAAGTCATCCATGAACAATTAACAATAAAGATAAACAGTGATAATAAAAGAAAATAGCTGAAGTGATTATCCAAACAAGAGAATAAACTTAAATCTTAACTATAAGATAGCTATGTAACCTAGAATTTTAGCCAACATTACCGTATTTCTTTGAAGATGCAAACTAACCCGTCAATGGTGACACCAATATATTATCAAGGCAAATGAAATAGTATATTATTGTCAGCATAAGACCAAGTCCACGAGATAAAACTACTTCAAATATTTTATAACGCAAATGTGGAGAGACTTAATTCCGATCATCTAATAGAAGCTTGATAGGTAAAGCATCTAACAGCGTCCATTCTTATATTAACATGATGAAATTAAATCAGGAGGT